GTCGCGATCTGACAAGAACGCACAGAGAGCGAAAGGAATCGAGTGCGTGGGTGGGGTACTTGCGGTTGCGAGGCCGAAGTGAAAATGGGCCGATGAGGCGCACAACCAGATAGTCAGAGCGGTTGGGCGTCTGTCTTGTCGTTCTGTCTGACGTACCTACACGACGTGGGACCAAATTGGGTTATTGTGTGGACCACGAAAGAAGTTCTTAGTGAAATCAAGTCATCGTTTGGGCTTAGAATTTGAAGGGGCACAATTTTTGGTCAGTAGGATTGTGGATTGTGCTTGTACCACTTTGGACTAAAAACCGGACATCGTGCCCCAGCATTGCATAATGCGCGTGCAGCACTGCGCGTAAGCCAGCGTTGCATACAGCTTGATCTCCATTCAACCCAGCCACCGCTCCATCATATGCGTTGGGACATCGCCTCAACTCGGCATTTTCTCAACGTTAGTGACTGGAGTGATCAGGATAGGTCACCTAATGCTTTAAGTAACTGCGTGTCAAACTACCGATATCTGGGGCTCCAGCTGTCTTTACAGCAGTGTCCGTGACGCTAGAGCGGTTTCGATCCGCCACACCGAAGATCTCCATTTTCGAAGCACGGTAACCTACTTGGTAGCTGTACTTGCCAAGATTGACGAGGTCGCCATTAGAGGGCAGCCACATGATCTCAGATGTGTGGTTTTGGAGGGCATTTTGCCCAGCTCCGCTGATCCTGCAGGAGTCTGACGACGACGTGAGCTTACGGCAACAGTCGCTGATTGTATGCGTAGTGCATTTGTAGGAAGACGGACCAATTTCCATAGGTTTAGCTATAAATATTCCACCTACAAACCACACTTCTAGGAATTTCTAGGGTGAATCGTATCCACCCACAGATGGCTCGCGACGCGGCTTCTCTCGGCGACGACAGCTCGTCCTCGGGCTTCTCCAGCGATGAGGATATGGCGGACGTGTCAGACTTGCCATCCGCAGCCTTGTCCGTCCCCGGTGTCCAGGTTGAAGTGCTGGACGAGGCCGAGGAGATTGAATCTAAAACCGCCGCGTCTCCTGCTCCTACCGACCTAGAAGCATCCACAGCGTCCACCAATGTACTCCAATGCTGCCGAGACGTGGCTAATACAATTCTACAGACACTGAACCCTCTGGACGTGCAGTATGACCAGTATACGGCTGCAATCGGTCATGTAACGTGGCATTGGCCAACATCCGAGACTATTCCGAACGCCGCAGAGCTCGAAAACAAGCTCAAAACCTACCATTCACTACGCGCAGACCTCTATAAGGCCTTCCAGAAAGCCTTCCCCCTTACAGAGGACATGTATGTCCAGTGGATCAGTGACTCAGGTGCCAGAGGAGACTACATTGAGGAGATCAAGAGGCTTTTCGAGCTGTCACAGGGAGACTATTGGTCCATGTCATTAACACTGCAGTATCTGAGGTTTATTAAGAATAACGGAGACGATAAAGAGCTGGAAATGGCGATGCACAAGGCACAGAACACACTGGGGGCCCACTTTGCTAGAGGTCACGAGATCTGGGCTCTCTGTCGGGACCTTACGACTGAAAAATACGACGAAATGGATCAAACACAAGACGCAGAGAAGGAGAGAGCGATCCGAACTCTATTTTGCAGCCAAATGCAGTTGCCACTAGACCAGAACGACCTCGTCATGTCGGAATTTCGAGCTTGGGACACCTATAACGCGCTGGATGAGGCTTCTGGTGCAGCATTTGAAGAGGCCTCAACTCGCCAGACCAAACTGTTCGCCCCGTTAATAAAGAAACTGAGAGGATTCGAGACGAGAATCAATGCAGCGCCAGGGACAGAGGACGCTGCCGCTCCAGAGCAGGTATGGCTACAGTATCTGAACTTTGTTAAGCACCGTGTAGCTCCGTTGATGTCGGGTGAAACAGAGCGGAAGCAGCTTGTGGTGTGTCTGTATGAACGCGCAGTGTCAGTCATGTGTCTAAGCCCCACACTCTGGACCAGCTATCTGGAATATATAGAGCCTGACCAAGCTGAATCAAACACCGCCGACAAGCTCACAGTCGCACGAAGAGCTGTACGGAATGTACCGTTCGATTCCAGTGTCTGGATGGAATTACTTATTGAGATGGAGAAGCAGGGCTCGACTCTGGAAGTCTCGGATTTTGTACGAAGAGAACTGTTGACACGTTCAAGCTCTCCGTTGGATCAGTATCACTTGTTAAACGTGTTACTCGCGTGGTGCGACTCGGTACGTCGCTATGCTTCTATCAGTATTGACGGGGAAGATCTCGAAGATACTATACAACAAGTGGAGACATTGGTAGGAAAAGTCTTCGCAGAGTGTCAAGAGTTCATGACTAAGGCATTTCCCGACTATCGTGAGGGCCTGATGCGCCTAGCAGAATATCAAGCCAAGTGTTATTGGGCACTGATGCCCCCAGACGGACCACCAAGACGTACACCCGCACTAGCCATGAAAGTCTCCAAGGTAACTGAACTGTGGAAATCTACACTTAGCATATCACTAGGAGACCAGACAGCGACGTGGATTGCCTATTTGGAAGCACTTCGACGGATGAATGCGTTCTCAGTGAGCAGTATACGCACAATGGTATTCGACGAGGCACTGAAACGTGTTAAAGACTACCCACTGACCCTCGCTGAGTCGTGGCTTGTCTTTGAGCGTGAAAATGGAGACTTGACGAATTATCTGCGTGCACGACGGTATCATATGAAACACCGCACGTCTCAAACTCCTGCTCAAGTTATTGTGTCCACTGGAGATGAGAAGGTTAAGAACGCTAAGAAACGAAAGGCTGATACCGGTAAACAGTCGAAGAACGCGCAGAAACCAGCTAAACGTGCGAAGCCTACGACTACCGAAGCCGTGGGTATTACCGAGAAAGTATCTAAACCCGCAGAGAAGAAGAAAATCCACGAGAGTCTGACGAATGAGCACACGCTCTTCATGTGTAACGTGTCGAAAGAAGCGAGTAAAGGAGATATCGAGGCGCTGTTTAGGGACATTCCGACCTTAAAGGATGTCCGTCTTGTCGTCAAGACTCGCGGTGATCGTGTCAAGTCGCGTGGGATGGCGTACGTGCAGTTTTTGGACGATGCCGGTGTTGAAGAGGGGCTTAAACGAGACGGATTCCTGCTCCATGGGCATCCACTGCGTGTTGAGCGTTCAAAACCTCCTCCAACCTCTGCGTCTACACCGTCTAAGCCCTCGGGCGGTGAAGGTTTCTGGAAGCCTGATCCATTGACGCTGTATATTGGCGACTTGAACCGCGAAGGATCTAAAGATCAGGTGACGGAAGAGCAGCTACAAGTGGCTCTACAGCAGTCGATGCAAGCAGCAGGTGAGCTCGTTGTGGTCACTCGTGTGTCGATATTGAAGGATCGGCATGGTAAACGGAAGAACTATGGACTGGTGGAAGTGGCGGAGTCTTCTCAAGCTACTTTCTGTCTAGCGAATGTTGCTGCGTTACAGTCCAAACTGGGTGATCAAGTGACGATGAAGCCTTCTCGTTTCTCGATTTCCCACATTCTCGAGCAACAGGAGAAGCAAAAGCAGAAACAGCGGCAATCGAGCAGTAAAGTGGGTAGTCAGCCGCATGCCAAGCCGTCTACGCGACTCGCTCTTCCGTCTACTGGATCGACAACGAGTTTGATGCCACGTGCGCTACGTCGGAAGCTAGCAGCTCAGGATAACACGGCCAAGAATGTGTCTGCTGCAGTGACGCCGAAGAGCAACGAGGACTTTCGTAAGATGCTTTTCAACAAGTAGTGTGGTTTAAACGTTGAAATGGCTGAATGAAACTGGGTTGTTTTGACGAAATGTATCGGCATTGGGCGGTTGTGACGTTTGGCAACGGACGAATTGTGGGTCGTAGCACTCGGTAAAGATCCCGTCGCACTGGTCGAGCATCTTGACGCCGTTGGTGATAAGCAGCGCCGTCAAGCTAGGTGCAAATGCTGCCGCGCTGTCACTGTCCATTGTGGATACATGCAGGTTGCCGGCTGCGGTGTCGGAGTCGAAACTCGAGAATCCACACGGTCTAGGAAGATCCAGTGTCGGGCTGCTTCTGTGCGGTTAAGTCTTGAGTGCCTACAGCCGCGACCACCACGCTAAAATGACGAAGAAGCTGCATTCGGCACGCTTCGAGCCGCTCGGAAATATGACCGAACTCCATCGTAACATCGTTCCTCGAGGCCGTTGCCTTCAATAACATTAGGAATAGTTACTTCATACCTTCATATCACCACTAGCTATGCTACGCTATGGACTTTCTAAAGCTCAAGTCGAATGACTTTTTCCGTAGGCCTCGATTCCGGGAAGCAGACCGAGATGAACTCGCTCAGCTGCTTGCAGAAGGTGTGCTGCTGGCACTTGGTCTCGCCCAGGTAATACAGTCCGCCGCACTGCGCCCACGCCCTGACACCGTCGATCTCTTCCTCTACGACGGCGCTTTTGCTCTCGATTGATCCTTGCGAGACGCTGGAGACTGGAGGCGAGTCCTGTGTGACGTTGTCGGAACTGTGCTCGGAAGTGTCGGAAGCACCACTGCCAGCAGTGCCGGAGACGGTTCGGACGGAGCTATCGCCGTTGCGGAGGTTTAACGCTTGAATTGCAGTCACAGTCAGCAATAAGAGCATGGCTAGGAGTCGCATCGAGGTCATTCTGGCTCAGGAATCTTTTACCGGAGACCGTTTGCTGCTTGGACCGAGAAATGGAGACTGACGTACTGATTTCCAAGTCCACAAAGGATTCCCTCGAATGCATTACACCCGATAAGAAAGCGAATCATCAGGTGTATCGCTATGATTGCATTACGTCCGATACTTTTGCTGTTTGAAGATACCTGTGAAAGTACATGACTTGACAAAAATGCTGCTATCGGAGAGCTACGATACGCATTTCTACAGGTGAACAGGCCTGGCTCTGGGAAATGTGGACAGGACCTGAAGATGCTAATCGACACGGCCAATGTCGGCTGGATGTTCGCGGTAGAAGCCAAATCGTCGTGGCTTCCGGCAGTTCGTGTTAGGCCCAGCAGATAACGGCAATTATGGCTCCGTTCCTTCGACGCCTACTCCAATGCCCGCAAAAAACTTGTTAAGGTCGGTGTCCTACAGGTGCCGGTACGACTTTGCAACACGGCAATACGAGTGCGATTTGCAGGTGGTAAGGACAAATTTCGCTCCGGACGACACGCTGCCTTCCACTCGCTGGTGTGCGTCCTTCCAGTGGAAGCCGGCTCGAAAAGCTCTATGAAATGTTGTCGTTAGTTGTATGGATACATTCTCAATTTGAGAATCGCGACGCCTCACCTTTCTTGTGGCCATCCCATTCCTCGTTCCGTGACACTCCAGGGATTCCAACGTTTACGCGGTACCTGTAAAGTAAGCATGGTTTCTCAGAGGGAAAGAGTTCGTTCATAATAGCTCGATGAGCCAACGTTATCGTCGATTACGCTCTATGATAGCTTATCGACCGGCGACTCGAAAACTATATATGATCAACCGCTCCGACTCGTAGCGATGGTTGTCGTGGTGCCCTTGACGCAGAACGTATGCACGGCGTTTGGCCCTCAGTGGCAGTGTTTGCACCTAATGATCAGAATAAAGTTGTGCATCTCGCACGGTAGAGAGAAACGCAATTCAGCTTTGTGGAAGTAGTTGACGGCGTCGCCCCGGACTCGATCTCACCGCAGCATTCTTCTGGCTGGAGAAGTGCATTGAAGTGGCTCAACGGCTTCTTGAGATAACTAACCCCGTACGTGTACTATCTACAGCGATGGCAGCGTTGGTCCGCGACACGATCAATGCGAAGAGCCATTGTAAATTGATGCTCAGTCAACCTCTGATTAATGAGCGTGAAAAACGCATAAGAATGTCCAAGGACGTGAAAATGGAGAGTGTGCTAAACTCGACTAAGACTGACTTTTTGACGCTACAAGGAAGGAAGCGACGATTAAACTCGAAATGAGACGGAACCAGAGAGAGACAACTTCTACTAACCGTTCAAGGTAGTATAATTCTCATCTACTATGCTAACAGTGAGTACAAGGATGTCCGCCGGCGAGCAGCATAAGTGATAAGTTATTGTTCAGTTAACGCAAGTCGACGCATTTGAGTCAGGGATACCACACACACCTCCCCTGTCGTCTTTGCATTACAATCAATAGTTAAATAAATTATCTTTTTCAACAAGAATGTTCCTCACTAATATCGTACAGTGCACTTCGGTCTCCAATTGGTGTCTGGATGAGCATGTAGGGCGTCTGAATCTCATCTCCAAGTCGCAAATCCTCTCCTTCGATATCTACAATATGCTGGGGATAAAAGTTCTCCAACCTCGCTGCAAGTGACTTCGGCACGACTTGAAAAAGCTCCACCGTCGTGTGCAGCCTCGGGATGGCGTACTCACCCACAGGTCCAACCACAAATTTGATCGTAAGCTGCGTTGGATTCTCTACGAGCCACTCGGCAATGCGTTTGGTGACTAGGATCTGTCCTCCAGTCCCCAAGTCTCCAACCTCATTAGCAATAACTTCTGAAGCTCCGGTATAAGTCAACTTCCCGGTAACTGCATGCACATCTCGGACAAGCGGTCCTTCCGAGCTCACTGCGTCATGGACCCCCATACGTATCCGGAGTCCACGAAATATCATCCTAGTGCTGGCCCGAACTTTACGGGTTGCTGGTACCAGTCCGTCGAGATGTTTTGGCCATTTCGCGTTGAGTAGGTGCAGCTGGACGTCCAGACAATACTCGACAGCCTCTTGGATTGTATGGAACGCTAGTTGGAAGGAATCTCCGGCCGTAGTAATCTCGTATCCGCGGTACGGAGCCAATAATCCTCGAAGAATATCATCGTGAATTCGAGTAGCTTCCTGCATCACACGACCGTCGTCAATGCCCCACAGCGCACTTGAAGACTCGATGTCGGTAAATACGAACACTGGGTTAATGTAGGGTATATCCGAGTCACCAGGAATCGTGACGCGGTCTCGATGTTGCATGTATCTTGCCTTGATATCGTCAGGTAGACAGCAGCGTACGCTTCGTACGACGCATGGTTGACTGCAACCAGTGACGATAGAAAGAGCAAATCCACGTAGATAATACAGCACGAAAGATACTCCAGCGAAACTTGTGATTCGCATTGTCTTGCTTGGAGCGGCGTACATGACAACAGATGAGAAGTGGAACTGGAAGACGAACAACGCGTAGATCATCATGATCCATTTGAGTCGACGGTACAGTGGAGAAGCCACAAAGCTTCCGTGTACATTCTCGTAATCACGGCCTTTGGCTTTGAGAACCACCACGGTAGCGATCATGTAAACTAGCGCAATGATCTGTAAAACGTAGACGCTCAATATCATGATGTACGCGTAGCGCGAGTAGCCGTTTAAAGTGATAGCTAGAGTTATCTCAGCAGCCAGGAAAAGCATAATGAATAAGTGACCGACCCAAGCGTACAGACGGATCTTGGCTCGCTCGTGTTGATCTCCTCTGTCCATTGAGACCGCGACGAGTTTTGAGAGTTCGTAAACCAGTAGAAATAACCAAATAGCGATGCCGAAGTGGGTCGTGTCGCCGATGATAATGGCGGCGGTAACCCAGTCACTTTGTCTGTACCCCAGCTTCAAGACGGCGCTGGTTCCTAGTTGATACAGCTCCGTTGCGACCAAAGCTTTTCCTCCGATGTCGTCGCTCTTATCTGCTGTTTGCGTTGTGTATACTGTGAGCCAGACGAAGTAGATTAACCTTGCTGCTGCACCGATGCACTGGTACGTGAAGAAGATGGCAAAGAGCCACTGGACGCTGGAAGCACGGACGTCCCAGTCGCGATACAACTTGAAGACGAGCAGTGCAGTGCCCACCGCCGACAATGCCAAAGCGGAGATGCACAGTAGGGCCCAAATCATCGGTACGGCGTGGAATTTTAAAATGCCAGCTCTCTCGGTGCGCTCGGCGTGCGATGCCGACTGGGACGAGGATGCAAAAGCCTTGTCCGTCGTAAAATCTGTGTTATCTGTGTTGCTCTTGTGGACTCTTGGAATCGCCTTAACTGGTGCGCCTTGTTCACTTAGCGGGCCATCAACAAGTAAGCTCACAGGTCGGATGCATTGTCTATAGACATGGAGAACCCAGCTTGGTATATTGGGAGTAACAAGCCAACGGTTTCGAGGTTTAGCTGCCGAATGAGAGTCAGTAGAGTTGGGATCGTTTTAATCCGACTAGTACTGATCGTTTCTCTTTACCGGTCTTTTTCTTCCAAGAAGCCTAGAGTTCTTCAAGTAGTCACGCAGTAGCCCGTCCCAACGCACATAAGCCGGTAGCATTATCTGTTTTTCACAGTTAGGAATTTCCTCATCTTCCAAGTGAGTTCCGTTGAATATCCTTGTTGAATCATTAGGCTTTAAACGTGATATGAATCAACACAAGTGAGCCGGGACGAGGACTTCCAACAGCTCCCTAGTCCCAAGATTCCGAAGCACTTGGCATCTAAAATAGTACTCAAAGTACTGGATACCGTCAAAATTAGTAATGAGGAGAATCATTCTTCACACACCCAAGGAAACCAACGGAATACCAGCATTATAATAGAACGCACCCGCCTTCCGGGGATTCAGAGGTGATGGAGGGCTTGCCCACACTTGTCGTGCCTGATGATCCCGAGACTGGGGCAATCGAGCGTCCCAAGACCCCTCCACCGATCCAGATCGATGAACAGCGGTTGCTGAGCAATACTACGCATCTACCGGTGAAGCTACAAGCGCTACCCAATGCTCCAATAGCGCCAGAGACGTTCAGTACTCCCGGTTCAAAGCAGTCAACACCTCGACAACCTACTGCGCGTGATAATTCCCAAATTTCAGGTTCAAAGCAATCAACTCCGAGGCCTCCGACAGCTCGAAATGAGGCTCAACCGCCTGGATCAACGAAGACAACGCCCAGACCGCCTACAATTCATGATGGCCAACAAGAACAGCCAGACGTAACTCCAGTATTGACTATTGGTATCGATACTACACTCGATGAATTGACTAGACCTCTATCACCTCGTGCTGCCTCACTGAGTAGTAAAGACTACAAGGCCATGGCGAAGCGCGCCGCCGCTGCAGCCAAGCTCGATCGTCTCGCTGCAGGCAACAAATCTGTATTCGACGCCAATATGAACGACATCGCTGAGTTAGGGATCGGAATGGAGCTGTATTTCTTATTGATCAAGTACTTAAGCTGGGCTTTCTTTACGATGGGGATTGTATCTCTACCAGCCATTATAGTGAACTACTACGGCGACGGCGTGACGGCCAAGATGGTAGATCCACTGCAGTTAGCGTACGCATCACTAGGCAACCAGGGCGTGAACCCGGATATCGCGAGCGATCCGTCTCAATGTCTACCGATCGGGGAGATCGACTGTACCGGGGCCACCGTCAGTACGCCGTTTACAACGGACCCGCAGACTGTGGCTTGGATCGTGACGTCGAGCGATGCCATCTACTCGTTCGTCTTCCTCATCGTTTACTTGCTGTTCCGTCGTCATGCAAGACGTGCCATTGACGCTCATCAGAACGAACATCTTACGCCGGCCAAGTACGCGATTTTCGTCCGTGGTTTACCTCCTGACGCTACAGCTCGAGAGGTGTTAGACCACTTTAACTCGCGTTATGACCCAACTCAAGAGGAGTCCTACTACCCGTTATGGCTTGGATGTTGCTGGGGACGACGGCCACGTCGAATCAAGCACTCATTGTCCAAAGGCGCAGCCAATTGCAACGTTGTGAACAATCTGGAGCATCTTTGGAGACCGGATGACCTCGGTCTAGCGCGGCCCGGCACTGGCCAGCCAAGACTGAGTACGGCCGGGTTGGCCAGACCAAGCACGACTAGTCTGGCCAGGCCTAGCACGTTTGGTCAGCCCAGGCCACTCACAGGGCCTCCTGTTACTCCACGCGACGCTATTTTGGCCAAACAAGAAGAACATCAAATGTACTTGGGTACTTGGATTGCCGAGGTGAGCATCGCTCACCCTACCGGCGGATTATTGCGAACATTTCTGGCCATGGAAGTGCTCACCCGCAAGATTTCGGAAGCTCAAGCACTGGTTAGTATTCTCGCTCAAGAGAAGGATCAGGCCGAGCTCGCACTTCAAAACTGGGTGCCACCTCCAGACAAGAAGAACCCGAAAAAGCCGAAATCAACTTTCAAAAAGGCCGACGAGTTGTTGCTCCAGGCCACAACGAAAAAGCTGGAACGGCTTCTAGCTGCGATGACCAAGAAAACCAGCAAACTCAAGGCTCTTAAACAGGCAAATAAACAACTCCAGGATCAACTGAAGCAAGAAGCTGAGGCTGCAGCGGCACCCGATACGTCTACAACTGGTACCAAACCAAAGACCAAACCGAAGAAAATGAAAGCTCCAGACGCTAAACCCTTCGATCTCAACGCCTGTGAGTGCGCGTTCGTGGTCTTTAACAACCTCGAATCACGTCGTCGCTGTATCCAAGACTACCGACGCTCAGACCAATGGATACCACATAAATTTCAGCCGAAATCACTACGTTTCCGCGACGGTAAATATCCGCTTACAGTGCTCGCAGCTCCTGAACCGTCTAATATTTTGTGGGAAAACCTTGAGGTGACAGCGCGATCTCGTCGGATTCGTCGCGGTTTTACGAATTCCGTGACATTTTTACTCCTCCTTCTCTCCGGGGTTATCATTTCTGCAGCCCAGTCAGCGCAACAGACTTTCAAGGATAAGGCACCCCCTGCTGGACTCTGTGAATCCACATTACCAGAGATTTTCTACGCTAGTCCAGATTTTCTCGACGCCAAAGTATCTTGGGATCTCGAGTGGGACTCTAACGCTACATGCACACCTGGAGATAGTGGAGAAACTCGCTATCATGTTGCGTATTCGAATGGAATTATCAACGATATCACGGTGGATAAACCTACGTCTCCTGTTAATGAATTACATCGTTGTACCGATCCGTGTGTTTCTGAAAAATCGAGCACAAAATGCAACACACTTGCATGCTATAATGGCGCAGTACGCGAAGAAACCGGCGCAGACTGCGAGACGTATCTGGCTAGTCATGTTCTCTATTGTCTCTGCACTGCACAACTTCAGACCAGTATCGCGGAATTCGGAGTAATTGACGGACCGCAGGAACTCTGGAACACATTTCTACCATGTCGTGGCTTCCTGACCGATTTTCTCGCCAAAAACGCTTTTATTGTCATCGCTTCCGCCGTCGTGGTTATTGTAAACATCGTGCTCAAGTCCACACTACGAGGCTTTGCATCTTTCGAGCGACATACAAGCGAATCAGCTAAAGCGTCAGCCGTGGCTCTTAAAATGTTTGCAGCTCAATTTCTCAACACCGCTATCATTGTGCTTGTAGTGAACGCGGCGCTGTCACTAAGCGCTGTTCCTGTCGTTGGAGAGCTCTTTCGAGGCAAGTACAGTGATTTCCAGCGAGACTGGTACCCGACTGTGGGCATGGGTGTCACGATGACAATGCTGATCAATGCCATTATGCCGCATTGCATACTGTTGCTGCAACTGTGTGTAATTGGCCCCTTAAAGCGCTGTCTAACACGTCGTAGCGTGCGAACACAGGAGAAAATGGACCAACTGTATGCTGGGCCAACGTTCGACTTGGCTGTGAGGTATCCTATGATCCTGAACTCGGTCTTTGTGACGCTAGTTTTCTGTGGAGGTTCCCCTGTGCTACTGTTTATCGCAACTTTAGCCTGTACCGCAACATTCTGGATCGATAAATTGTCGCTGTTGTGGCTTTACAGTGTCAAAACAGCGTACGATGAAGCTCTGGGTGAAACTGTGCTGGGTTTATTACCGTGGGCATTGGTAGCTCACTTGGCCTTTTCCTCTTGGATGTATGGCAATACGGATTTATTGAAGGCTCCGACGTTGAAACTCGGCTGGGTTTTTGAGTTGTTTGGTCTTAGTACGGACGGAGCAACGGATACTGAAGAGATGTACAACAAACTGGTCGCACAGGCCACTACGTTCGATCCATTAGGAAAGAATGGCTTCATTGTAAAGGTTCTCCATGTGAACGTGATGCTTATGTTCATCCTGTTCCTACTGGTGGTACTTGGTATCCTCCTGTCTGCTGTTTGGGTGCGAGTGCTTCTACCAGTTCTACGCAGCACAGTTGGTCGTATTCTACTAGCAGTATGGAGTCGTTTGCGACCACTCTTCCGGTTCTGTCGATGTCGCTGTTCGTGCTTCAAAAGAAGGAAAAATGTGGTTAAACCTGAGCCTTCACCCAATAGTTCGCCTCAGAAACCTCCGACTGGAGGATCGGCAAAAGTTGCTGCAGAAATTGTACTCACGGACATTCCAACAAGCGAACTCACTCTACACACAGGCAAAGAAGACGGGTTGAACGGAGCAGAGCCGTTAGTACAGAAGTCTTCGGTAGTGACAGCGTGGGCACCGGAACCAGCATCAGCTGAGCCAATTGAGACCTTACCCAAAGTTCCGTTGTCAGCTCGAACAGTACCGACAGAAGTAGTACTACCGGAGTTTACCGATGTGTTCCGAAAGTCCGTGGGTCCGAAATTCCGGCCGGACGCGAAGCTGGGCTTTAAGCGCGACTCCAGTCGTCCATCTGAGCTGGTTCGGTACTGGAAGGAGGAGACGGTAAGCAATGGTTATCATCGCAACCCGGGAGATCCGATGCGGACGTGGGAAGCCATTCAGGCCCCCGTCAAGACGTACGCTATTGAAGCCAACGCTAAGTACAGACTGGCAGTGGCTGAGCTCGTGGCAGCTTCAAGACGAGCTCTTACGATTGCAGAAAACCCAGAGACGCCATCTCATTCCCCTTCAAAGCCTGAAGGTGCAGTTGTTGCACCAACTTCTGTTGAAGCAGTACCGGTAATACCTGAAGAGACAGCGGTAAAGGATGAAGATCCGAAAGATGAGGTGAAGCCGGAAGACACTGCCATAACTCTCGGATAGGCACAAGGAATGTTTATTTAAACTCATAAAGAGCTTTACAAGTGAAATTCTCCTTTTGGTTGATTAATCTTGCTCTTTTGATGAGCTTTCTGGCTTAATCACTTGGCCTCAGCCATCGTGTAGAAACCCTGGGCGTATTTCTTGCCGAACTCGGTAGCCGATGTTGGTGGATGCTTCAGGGCTTTCCGTGGACTCTCGTCCAGTTCCTGATAACATAAAATCTCTTTAGTGGTCGTTATCACAACGAAAACGACAATAATCGCACCTCGAAGATGGCTTTGACGTCGCCGTCGTGTTTTTCGTAGAGCGCCTTGAGCTTTTCAGCCACCTGCGGATCGTACTCGAGAGAATCCGAGTGCTCTCGAGCGCCTTTTGTCGCGTGCAGCTCCTTACTCGCCTTGTTCAGCTCCGACTCGGAGACCGCAGCAGCTCTCTTCGCCTCCATTTCGGTTTGATTTTGTTGAATAGGATCTGTGTGTGAAGCGTCGCGTTAAATCAGGTCTAAATATCATCCATGTAATATCCGTTTTGATCAAAGCAAGGCTTGACAGACATTACGGAGGGTTAGACACCACATGTTACATTTATACAGGACGAGAAGATGGTAGCCACCATAGTGTAACTGGAAATTGGAAACCAGGAGGTTAGAGGCTCAGGGATATAAGCAATTAATATATCTGAGAAGAAAATGGATTGCTAACGAAGCGATTTTCAAAATGCCTCATAGGTGACCAAAATCGTATAAATACTTTTTCGTATTCGAAGCAGCAAAATACTACTTCGAAAAACTAGTGACTGACTAGCTGAGTAGAAGTAACCTCCATGTCATGTTCAGGCACGGATGTATTATGTCTAGGGGCTCTCTCACCTTCATCTGTCTTGGGTAGCTAAGGTTATTAATTGTTCATTCGACTTGATCGCGACGTATTGAAAGTGCTAGCTTCAACTCAAAACGACGTGGGATTTATGGGAAAGTAAAATTAAAACAGGTAAACAAAATGTATTATGGTTAACCCCCTACTTCGTTGTTGCTAGTCTTACGCCAGTAAACTGCAGTTGGGTTCTTCCTCATCCAACCATTTCTTAGCCTACTTGTTTAAGCGACTGAAGAAGCGCAGTGCAGAAAGAGATGCATCCAGAAGTATACTCGCTCTTCTCCTGTTGAACCAGCTCCTTTTTACGTGTCTCCACCCAGTTACGGATCTGCAGAAAACGCTCGTGCTGTTGGTCAATTGTCCAGTTGGGATGAGTCTTGAAATGATCCTTGCTTCCACAAATTTCCACTATCTCGCCCTTAATTGCCCTTATGATAATTGTGTCCACAAGGTCGTGCAACCCCAAATTTTCTTTCGACGTGGCCATTGTTATGTTGTTTTTTTGATTGATGAATTTCTCCAAATCTTGCCAGCTCGGTTTCTGATTCGGGAACATCTTGGACACTTGCTGCACTGCAACAGCCAAACCGACGATATGAGCTGCTTGCATCGACTCAGAACTTCTAGTAGAAGTATTCTTGGATGCCTTTCTGATTTCATACGGCGTGAGAGGAACGTCTTGTAGCCACGCCAAACTTTTGTCGTTGTAAAGTTCCTTGAGCTTCTCCAGTTTTTTCCATGTAAATACAATCGCACACCATCAGCAACAAAGCTATGTCGTAACAGGATTTCTGTCGCTTTTTCCGTTGATAATCGTCATCAACAAGAATTTGAGTATTTGCAGCATCGCGGCCGATAATGTTGGCAACCCAGATGCAAAAATAGTCCTTCAATCGACTTTTGAGCGCGCGCGTTAAAACCAGATAAGCAACGACTTGGTGGAAATTTTTGTAGTATTTGACGATGAAGAAGAAGAGCGACTTGTGTTGTTTCTTGCGATTGATCCACAATGGCACGACTTGGTTCGCGATGGAGCTCAGAGACAGATCCTGGTTGTGTTCTGGGAGTCTGGAAATATCAGGATCTACCGTGCGGCGGTCCAGCTTGGTGTCTGATACCTCGATTGGTGGTGCCTGCGCTTTCAAGGTATCATCCTCGTCGCTACATGCGTTGCCACTTTGGTACTCTCCGTCACTTTTTGTGTCAGCGTCCTCACCCCCGCGTCCACCAGCGATAGTTACTTGATTATCCTCACTTTCTCGCCCTCCGCTGCTCTCAGTATCCGTATCCCCGCAATCGCTGCTACCAGTCGATTGTTTCGACTCGGTCTCAGATTTACTGTTCTCATACGTCGGCACCTCCATCGAGAGGGGCACTTTCTCGTCTTTTGCAAACGCTTTCGCCAACACTGGTGATGATGAACCCGGAGTTTTCATGCTTCCCCGCTCGATTAGTTGAAGTCAAGTGCTGTGTGTGGTTGTGGACAATTGTTTTTTAATGATTGAGTGAGCAAGCCTTTCGCACAGACGAGTCGGTGGAAAAGTCTGCGTGGAAATTCTATGGATTTGAGTTCTATCCCGACCTTCTATTATCATCCAACTGCTCCAACAAGTTCTTATCTTATCTGATTGACTTACCTACGACGAGTATTATTTCAACTGATCGAATCCTCGTGAGCATAAGTGAGATGAAGGTCGGTGTCACAATGATAATTTAAACTTACTAATCGGGTTCACTACAAAACAAAATAAAGCAACGCCGACATCGACTCGTTTTAGAACGTCACGCAATCTTTATTTACAATTAGAGGATGTAGGTATCCTCCATGCTTTATAGAGTTGTAGACCCTTGGTATCCAAGCTCGGCAACAAGTCGATAACCCTGCGTCTTAGTATAATCTGAATTTGAAGCGGCCCGTATTAATATAAAGTGAACAGCCTCCCATGTATGAGGGAGGCTATTCACTTTACAATTACGCGGACCCTGCGATTGCTTTCGTTGCTAACCGCGAGTGCTGATTCAATTGATCGTTCATAAATATCGCCTTCTGCTGCTTCCTGATACTTCGATCTACTCTGTTTGGCTCTCACCCGCTTCCTCTGCAACCTCCTTCTCCACAGCTTTGTCTTCCTCCTCTTCACTAGCTTTTTCTTCATCTTTGGGTGTTTTATTGTCAATATTCTCATCAGCCTCCTTCTCCTCTTCCTCCTCCAGCTCCTTCGGGACAGGTGGTGACGAGAACTTGGGACTTTGCGTCTCCTCTTCATCCTGTTCCGATCCGGACTCGTAAAATGCTTCCAGTTGGTCCGGATCGGCCGTGACGACCAAGTCCACTTCGTCCAGCGTCACTTGGTCCTTATCGTCCTTCAGCATTCTGGCCTCCGTCGCGGCCGCATCTCCATGATGGGCCACCAGTGTCTGATACGTGCGGAGGTCATTCATGAAGGCACTGGCCAGCTTCTGGCGTCGCATCTCCAGCAACTCGCGCTTGCGGCCCTCGGACTCCTGGGCGATCCGCGTCTCGAACTTCTCAAGCTCTTCTTGTTGCTTGGCCGCGAACTCGGCGTTCTGGCGGGCCGCGTTCTCCTCGCAGCGCTGCACTAGCAAGTTCTCCACCTCGTCAGCCTCCTCGGCCAGCTTAAGTACCAGGGTCCGGACCCCTGCGAGCTGTTGACGCACTCTAGACACCAAGTGGAAGTTCTGGGCTAAGAACTGTTCGCTGGCCGCTTGAGCCTGTAGCGTGGCCCGGGCGCGGCTCAATGCAGAGTCGAGTTCTTGGCCGCTTCAGTGGGAAATAGACACGTTAGTAAAAAAAATGTAATATCTCGTTAACGACTGAAAGTTGTTTCTTGCAACTTGTACAGTTACAAGCACCGATTACCTGGTGATTAGTTTCTGATGGTTGGACGTTGCCTGCGCGTATAGCTTTTGCTGAGCACGAAGGAACTCCTGACCTTCATTGCGGCCGGAAGTTTCGAGAGATTCTGGCGCGACGGGCGCAGCAGTTTGAGCCGCGACTTCCACGGTACTGCTGCTCGACACAGAGCTGAAGGGAGCCGAGCGGTTGCTGGCGGCCGAGAGCTCTCGCTCGACTGCGGAGGACAGCTCGCGTGACTTGGCGACGACGTACTGGAAGCCGATCATGGTAATCAGTTGAGGGGAAATGTCACTCAAGTGGAGTGACATTTATAATCTCGGTGGTCGACAATTCTGTCTGATTTTTTTTTATTGTTGGCGAGTTCAACTTGTTGAAATCCTTTACCACCGAGCCCACGAGTCTTGTATTTCTTGGCAATAATACAACCATAGTTTCATAAGATCCTCCAGTGTTGAATAAATTCTTTCCAGCATGCCAACCGCTTGTAGAAGCACCTCGAAATTCATCAGCAACCCATTCAACTGCGTCGTTCCCATTATGGAATCAGGTGGCTCCAACTAAAATATCCGCTACGTGTCGTGTGGCACCGCAACAAGAGGGTTCTCTCACTTGCTGTCAGCCACCCAGCTGGTGTCCGAAAGCCTGAATGTTCAGTCAAAGTGCAACATAATATCGGAGACCAATACAGTTCGCCAGATGGAGAAGCCCCAAACCTGTCCATCTTGTCGGGCTTGCAGAGCAAACTGGTCCACCCCATTATTAAGAATCGCACGAGGCCAACGAGACCAGCGCATGTGCGCAGGTACAAGGAATTCCCTTCTCTCCTGCTCAATTTAGCGCTCGTTTTTCGACGTTTATTTATCAACAGGCGATGGTGATGATATGGGCTTCCATGGGCTTGACCTCCGTTCTGCTTTCCAACATTTCGGCGATGCTGATCTCGTTCAAATTGTACCGAGACTGGGACTTCCGTGTGTCCAGCGTTCGTTGGTTATTCCTCACGTTTTTCGTTTATCTATGGCTCTACACACTCGGACGTGCAAGTTACTATCTCTGGGTCGTCATGCTACCAATCAAGGAATTCGTAGACGGCAACAACGCCGTGCCATACACAAGCAAACAATTGGACCAGCTAGGAATTTACGCTACGACAGATCTCGAAGCAGCGCGAAGGTTATTCCCGACTACAATTTTGTGTTTCTGCGACGTCATGCACTTTGCAGTAGCATTTTGGGTATTACCACTCATCTACGAACTGTCAAAAATCGCGGCGAAATCGATGGACAGAGGCACCGCCAAGGAAAAAGCCAAAATTCGGATGTATATTATCGTGGGCCATGGACTTATTACCTGCTTTCTGGTCGCAGTGGTGATTTTAAGTGTTATTGGAGGTGGGTACTCGAGTTATACCTACCGATTAGCACTCGCCATCTACGTCATGCAGATTATCACGCTTGTGTACATGGGTGTGGTGTTGTTCCTGCTGAAATGTAAGGGGCGAGATGTCGAGTCAATCAACGGTAAGTTCCAAGCTTCACCAGTCTACAAGCGACTCAAATGGATCATGTTTGCGTACGCGCTCTTTGCGCTCCAGTACGAGGCCACATCACTCTTCACGTACGTGTACACACCTCGTGATGAAGCAACGTTGAGCTACATTGGCATCAGTCAAGTCATGTACAATGCCACGGGTCTTGCCTTGGCTCTTTGTGCGGGCTGTAGTCTGCCATGTACATTACGGTTCTGCGGTTGCTGTATCCCCGATGAGATTCTCGTTCAGCTTGTGGTAGAGTCCAACCGAGGGGAAATTCCTTGCATGACAACCCGTGACGAGACGGTGGAGCCTCCTGTTTTAAACCCGGTGTTTGTTGTGACGGATATCGAGTCGTCCAGTGCGTTGTGGGGTATCGATGACGGTAAGGTGATGCAACGGGCGATACAGGTACACGATGATACGCTGCGTTCACTGTTGACACCGTATCGAGGGTACGAGATTACTACGGCCGGAGACTCCTTTCAGCTGGCCTTCCACACGATTCGTGAAGCCGTCTCGTACTGTTTGGATGTCCAGCTTCAGTTGCTGGCCGCTGAATGGCCCAAAGAGCTTCACGGTCTTGTACCAGCGACCAAGAAGCGACGAGCAGGCCACCGAGTCATTTTCCGTGGATTGCGTGTACGAATGGGAATTCACGATGCTATGGGCTCTGACGGACACCTTCACCATAGCCCTCACGCTGTCACGGGTAAGACCGTCTACACTGGAGCGTCTGAGGTGATCGCAAGCGAAGTGAGTGACGTGGGTGCTGGCGGACAGATCCTCATCACGCGACGAATTGCTGAATGGTTAATGACCAACAAGGACGTTTTACCTATGGATTACTCTGTCGATTACCTGTGCGACTACATGGTCCCGCAAGTAAACATGCACGTGGCAGTCTACGAAGTTCTGCCGGAAGAACTCGCTCGACGCAAGAAGATTTTCGCGCAGGACCAGAACAGCCGAATCCCGCACGTCGCGAACCGATCAGCCTCGGGCTCCACTATACTGGAGAGTGGCCTTGAGACGCCTCTGGGTTCACCCACATCGTGGTTCCAGACTCCTCGTACTCCTCAACGAGTGAGTACTTTTAGATCATAGCTTGTTGTTAGTGAAGTATAATATCCTGTACAGTAGCTTGTAGTGTTCGTGCTGTAAAATATTTCACATTTTTCTTCTATTCCGAACAAGAAGTTGCTACTTCAAGCCTAGTGGTGGGTGCAAGACCTGAATTACTACGAAAGCTTTGGTTGCTGTTGCTTAAAAACTCGTACAATGAGTTTGTCCTAACTAACTAGCCACGCATGCCTGGCTTCCGCTTGAGTTCATCACGCAGTCCCAGCGAGAAACACCCACGTTCCACCATTTGGTGCGGCGGCACGAACGAAGCGGACAGTGGCGTAACCACATCGTCCTCTTCATCGTCATCAAAGTCGTCAAAGCCTCCCTGCCGACGCTGCCGCAGGTCCATGCCCACTCGCCGCTTCTCCTTGGTCTTTTGCTTGCCCCTAAATACGTTACTACTGGCGTTGGAGTCGCTGTCTTCGCCCTCGAACTCCATCTTAAATATGTCGTCATCGTCGTCCTCTGTGTTCGTCAACCCTTCATCCTCAGTGTCCTCGCACTCCTCGGCGATACCGTGCGGCCCTGAATACGGCCTCCTCGACCGGCCATTGTTCACCGGGATAGCCAAGCCGTCGTTATTGCTGCGCTTCTTGCTCTCCAACGGCCAGCCGCCATTGCCAAGCATCATGGCCGGCTCTTCCCACGATAATAACTGCATCATAGGCTGCTTAGGGTCGTTCGAGTTCTGAAAGTCGTTGCTACTTCCGCGTCGTCTACGGCACTCAGAGTCCTTCTCGTCTCGTGACGGGATCGCCGTCGGCGAGGTCGCACAAGAACCCGTGGGGATCTCGATGGGCGCAGACACGCGGTCCACGACCATTTGGTCGCTTTTGGGTGCCAGTCTTCGCGCCCGGAAAAGATGAGACCGCAGACCGAACACGTACGAAGACGTCTTGTCCTCTGAAGGGGACGTACCCCACCGGCTCCTGGACGACGATGTAGATCTACTGCTCTGTCTGGCTGACGTCGACACCGAGACGGTCGAGCGTCCTCTGCTATTGTTACTCTCGGGCCGACGCGTCGTCTCATCCGTCGCCGTCGCCGTGCGTCGACGACTTGAAGTCTCGGCGCGTCCATTAGCCGTTGGTCGTCGATTACCGTCCCCACTCGGGCCATACCGTCCGCGTGTGGACGTAGCCAGATCCGGCGTGAAGATATTAAGAGCGCGTAGGTAGTTGGCTCTCCAGTTCTTGTTCTTGTTGGCGTTAAGCGCCATCCGCTGGCTGCTATTGGCCATAGGTCTGTCCTGTGTTTGTCTGTGGCGCGTCGTCATCGGGCCGCGCGCGGGCAGCCTCACGAGTCAATACAGAAGCTCAAAATTGTCGACTCCTTCCTGTCCTCTGGGCCGCCGAAGACCTTCGTCGTTGGCTAACAGCAGGCTGGAGGCCACCCGCTGCTGGCTGGAGCGTCTGTTGCGTCTCTTCCTGGGGCCTTCGCGGTGGGGTTAACGACTGGCCCGCGGCTCTTTGCCCTCAAGATTTGCGTCTGCGCGGGGCCCGATGCGAGATCTTTCGTTGCCCGAGCGTCTGGAGCGCGGCCGGTGCGATGGCCAAGCGGGGCCGAGGCGCGTACGTCCGGTCCGGTGCTGCTGTCCTGTCAATCAAGAAATGAGACTGGCAAAAGGTGCAGACGAAAAAACTCCGCAAAATTCTATTGCGATATTTGCAATAGAGACAACCCAGCTTTTTTGTGAGAAAAAAAATCGCTGGGGACCAACCAATTCGTTTGTCTCGGTGGTGAACACGAAGACACGAGCTAAAGGTTGCACTCGCGTCATTGCGGCCAGGTCTCATCGTGCGCGAGCGCTCTCTGCATGGCGCTGATATGTACATGCTTCGAAGTACCTTGCGAGAGAGACAATGTGCTGACTTGTGAGCATGTACCGGCCAGCGAGCGACCGGACGCTGTTCTCGCTCTCTCGGCACGGTTGGATAGCACGCGCAGGTAAATGTCCGTGTGCTCAGGACGAATTACATGAACTACTGCGCAGAAGACTAGCTCAGAGTTTGGTTGCTCAAAAGTTTAACTAAAGAATACCTCGCGTGCTATTTGATGGGATTGGCAGCTCCCACGAGACAGACACGAGTATAGAACGACAAAGTGCCACGCGAGATGAGTACATGTTGCAAGAGTTAACAGATTGCACACTTACTCATGTCGGGTTAGCTAAGATCTCTCCAAATTTCGCGCTTGTTTGCATCAAGGTGGTTGGTTGTCAACGCCCCCGCAGGATTCTTGGCAGCAAGATTAGCGAAAAAAAAAGAAGACGTCAACGCGAACGGCAAAGCATAATCCGAGCATATGTGGAGCGCAGACGTGTGTGACAGCGGCTTTGCGCGCCGCCGCGGTGATGAACACGACGCTGGCGTGCGGTGGTTTGCTTGGCCGCCTTGCAGACAGCGCCCGAGATCCGGGAAGGCGCATCACCTCTTCAGCAGCGAATGGCTCGGCGCAGGAGATCAAGCATTCGGACTTGCGTCGGATCCCCATCGGACGATCGAATGATCAACTTTCCGTACCTCGGCCCGTGGAACTCTTATTGCAACATTCTATTGTCAAAATGTACGGCAGCAAAGACCTGTTGAGGTTCAACTAGAATGCCTGTCACAGTTCTGGTAAGTAGTACTCAGAGGCCGAGTCGGCCAGTCGTTTTGGCAGAGATTTTCTAGAGGCGACGTGAAAGTTTCACCGCTGTGCTGGAGCTATGCAGCGCTTGCGATACTATTATATCTAACGTTTCGCCAGTGGCCCGATCTTTCATCACTCGAATGCTCCAGTCTCTGCTCGCAGAACGCCGATTTCTGCAAGTGAACTGCGGCACGTCACAGGCAAGAAAAACCAGGCAACGCAGTGCTGGCAGATTCCGGAATTCGACGGTTTAGAGGATGGCAACAAGCCGGAGGGATCCGATCACACGTGCGCACTGCGAGCGTTCCGGAAGTGCTCGCAGCAAAAATCCGCGTTTGAATCAGCTGCAATAACTTGCAGTGTGGCGTGCAATGCAAGTTCTAAAGCAAGAGATGATAGCGCAAATTTCCAGGTCAAGAGGTCTGGTTCAAGGCTCTTGCCTCCTGATCAGCAACTTGATGCTCTATCTTAGCGTCGCTGCCGCCGTGGCACGTCTCGCTGAGTCCAACTCGCCAAGTGTGTATCACTAACAGCCTTACTCTATTTCACTATTACTATTGTTGTGTGTCCCGCAATGTGCGGCTCGTAATGTTGCTTCGCTCATGAAGACCAAAAGGGGTTGGCAATAGCTCAAAAATGAGCCCAATACATACTTACATTGAAGTGCCACCCAATGCCGGCTATAGTACCAATACATGCGAGACCACGTTACAACAGCTTCTAACTGATGAATGCCCTATCTGGAAGCTGGACTCCAAACGCTATGCACACTCGAAGCAACAACCAAAATGATCCACAAACAGCTCTTATTCAGCGTGCTCGGAAACCCAAAATAGCGTTTGCAATCGAGTAATCGTATCATCGCCTCGTGTTCGTAACCAGGAAAATCTACTTGATGAACCTTGCAACACAGTGGCAAGAGCTTGTCCGTAGAGTTAAACGAGATTCGACGGCCGTCAGCGAGTGCATGCAAGTAATGCCGAGGTAACGTGCAGGCTGGCCTGAAATTGATTTTCTTCTTTTGCCAGCCACACGCAACTTGACCGCCATCTTATTCAGGTCCGGCCCCACAAAAGACGATGATTTGGGCTGTCCAATACGAACGAGTCCTTGGTAACTTATTTCCCTTCACGGGTACAGAACGCACTTGATCTCCCTACAGCCGCAACCAGCACCGAGTCTGGTGGCTCTCGAAGCAGCAGACACAACTCCACGACTTTGATGTACCGAAAAGACTGTTCCCTTGACTTGCATTCACTATGTACTCTATCCATCCGGTAAAGAAACCCTAACGCTTTGCTCTAAATGTTTAGACCAAATCCCGAGAAGAACAGCAGCATACTATTGGTATTAGCTTACCGCCGCTGTCTCGCACCTTGTGTCGTCCGAACGCCGTCGTCCCCGAGCCTACACGTCGCGCCGCCCTCTCCTCAAGACGCCTAAGAACCCTCCGCCCAAATTCCAGCGTCTCTCTCCGCGGCGTGGCCATGATATGGACGGCCCTCGCCGTCGCCTGCATGGCGCTGTCCAGTTTATCGACCGGTATGACCATGGTGAGCCTCCGACGTAGCTGGGACCTGCACGTGTCCAGTGTCCGATGGCTCTTCTTCTTCTTTTTCCTCTACCTGTGGCTCTGGAGCACCGCACGCGTATTATATCTGCTCTGGGTGAGCTTTTACCCCATTGAGACCACCACGTCCGACTACGCGTCGTCCTCCTCGAACGAGGACGAAGTAATTTACGACCGCTACAGCAGCATGGGCATATACACCGTCTTACAGCTCGAAGAGACCCACGACGCCTTCGCTACAGCACTTCTGTGCTTCGGAGACGCCGCGCTGTTCGCTGTAGCGCTCTGGATGTTCCCGCTGACGTTCGAATTGTCCAATATCGCTGCAAAATCGATGGATCGAGGCGCTGAGAAGGAAAGAAAACAGATCAGACTATACGCGTGGAGTGTACACAGCTTCGTGGTGGTGTTCGCAGCGATCGAAATGGCGCTGGCCATCGGGTACCAGGGGTATACGCAGTATACACAACGCTGTCTGCTGAGTGTATACTTCGTCCAGTTCTTCAGCTTCCTGTACATGATCTGGCTTATAGTCAGACTCAAGATCGGAGGCAGGAAGTACGAGAACGTGCAGGGCCAGTTTGTCACGTCGCCAGTATACCAGAGACTCAAGCGCATCATGATTGTATACGCGCTCTTCTCGTTGCAATTCCAACTGGCCTCTGTGGTCATGTACGCGTCCACAGACGACGAAGACAAGCTGCTGGACTTTATCAGTGTCAGTCTACTGGTCTACCATCTCTCGGGCTTGGCTCTAGCAGTCACCACCATGTGCAGTCAGGCCTGCGTCCTCAACATGTGCAGGTCGTGTCTGCCGGACGATATCGAGGCTCAAATCCAGACGAGATTCATGCAGGGAGGAGATCTTTTGTCTCCGAGAGACACACAGGTGCTTATGGAGTCAGCAGAGCCACCTCTGGTCAATCCAGTGTTCGTCTTCACCGATATCGAGTCGTCCAGTGCTCTGTGGGCCATGGGCGATGGCTTGGTGATGCAGCGGGCTACTGAGATCCACGATAATATCCTTCGTGCGTCTTTAATGAAGTACAGAGGATACGAGATCACAACAGCAGGTGACGCCTTCCAACTCGCGTTCCACACAGTGCGAGAAGCTGTGGAATACTGTCTAGACGTACAGCTCCAGTTGCTCGTTGCCAACTGGCCCAAGGAGCTGCATGGCATGTTGCCAGCTACTAGGAAACAACGTGCAGGCCATCGACTTATCTTCGGCGGTCTCCGTGTACGTATGGGTATACACGACGCGGTAGAAGCGGACGGAGCGCTGATCCTGGACGTCCACGCGGTGACGGGCAAGATGATCTATACCGGGGCGTCCGAAGTCATCGCTAATGAGATCGGAGACTTGGGTGACGGCGGTCAGATCCTGGTAACCAAGCGAGTAGCTGACTGGCTAGTCATGTACGAAGATCTGGTGGCGATCGACTTTATCGTCGATAGAGTGGGCGAGTACTCGATCCCGCAGATTAAGGCCAAGTTGGAAGTGTACCAGGTGCTGCCCGAAGTGCTCAGTGGACGCAAGAAAATGTTCTCGTCGACGCTCAAGAAGCGTAGAGCGACCACAGCGTCGTCACTGTACTCGATCGCGTCCAGCAACCGCTCGCGACTGTCAAGTAACGGCGGACAACTCCCGATCCCTGAACAGCGACGGCGGATGTCTCGACCACCGCCACTAGCGACGCCTCCGGATCACGCACCAGTACAAGGCGGACTCAGTCGCTACGGCCGTGTGCAGCGATCGTTCTTGCGTATTGATCATGGCTCGTTCTACACGCGGGCGACGAGCATGTAGTCTGGTTACTAACTTATTATTAAACAAGAGAATACACTAGCTTTCCTGCATTTTCAAGCTCGCTTAGCGATGGCTGACGAAGTTGACCTTCTGTCTTTATGAACTCTTCGTTTTTATTTTCTGGACAGACTGAACGGCATCCTAGAATGATTAATCACGGGGAAGTCCGTGTTTTTGGCGGTGGGGTAACATTGCTTTTGGCAGTTATCTTTGTATGTTCTCAAGCGAGACTGTAAAAAAAAAAGGATTAGTTTCCCCTTGTTAAAATAAGGTGAAAAATTACTTTTTTGTTATTCAATTCCAGGTTCAACTCCGTGTCCATCTCGACTATTATCGTTTGAATGGCGACAAAGTGAGCGAGTCGGCATATTTGATATTTGTGATGATAATGAATCTACTTATAACCCAATTTTAAAGAGGAGCCAACGCCTTCTTTCTGAATTTACTGGTTTACCTGTGGGTCTGATAAGTTGATGCATTTTGGCAGTCGTGAATCCGTTGACTTTTCCTTGGTCATTAAGCACTACAAAGAATTTTCACAGAAAAAAAACAAACATGCAAAAGCACAAATAGAAAAGGTATAATCTTCCTTTTTTGTAGTTGCAGTATGACCAAGAAGCTGAAGCAGTGAGTCATGACCTATAAAAATCGTAAAGACTTGCAGAAGCCAGTTTCTTGTTGTTTGTAAACAGCAGCATGAGCACGCGGGCTAATGGGCGATCGCAGTCGAAATTCTAGCGATTGTAAAAAAAAAAGGTTTCCAACCATGACAACGAAGAATTTATAATCTTAAATTACGCTGCAGTGCTGATGCAATAGCGTGCGTAAAATCTACTGCGTCGGTCTTGAGGAATCAAGCATAAAGTCAGCGCCTTCATTCTGCTATTTTAGTGGCAAAAAACAGTGGGTTCCGAAAGCCGGCCAACTTACCAGTTTTCCGATAGCGTCATTCTGATTTTTAACGGAAGTAGAAAGCAAATTCAATATAACCGTTGAACGGTTTGGTTTGCCATGCTTGTAGTGACCAACCACTCCAAACGCTCGCAGTAAGTTCCTCAGTTTTGTATTCTTCATCCAAAGCTCAAGACTCCAAGCAGCCTTCAACCACAATGCAGAACTCATGTGCCCCCGTGCAGAACCTCTCGTTCGTCCTCGAAAAGGGTGGCGCAGTCAAGTTTGAAGACCGTCCTGTGCCGGAGATTGTGGACCCCCACGACGTGATCGTCAACGTCCGCTACACGGGAATTTGTGGAAGTGATGTGCACTACTGCACGCACGGCTGTATTGGCAAGTACGTGGTGGACAAGCCCATGGTTCTAGGACACGAGTCTGCAGGTGTCGTGCATGCCGTGGGATCCGCCGTCAAGTCTCTCAAGGTGGGCGACGAAGTGGCCATGGAACCCGGAGTTCCGTGCCGCCGATGTGCGCGTTGCCGTGAGGGTAACTACAACCTGTGCCCGGACATGGCATTCGCAGCCACGCCCCCGTACGACGGCACTCTGACCAAGTACTACCGCATCCCCGAGGATTTCTGCTACAAGCTGCCGTCCAACGTCAGTATGCAGGAAGGAGCGATGCTAGAACCCACGGCTGTGGCTGTGCACTTCTGCCGTCTGGCTAAAGTGACCCCGGGCCACAAGGTCGTGGTGTTTGGTGTCGGCCCCGTGGGTCTGTTGACTTGCAAAGTGGCCCGACACGTGTTCGGTGCCACGACGGTCGTCGGCGTGGACGTCAACGAGAAGCGTCTCGCGGTTGCCATGGAGCACGGCGCAACGCACGTGTTCCAGGGACGACCGGGTACGACGCCTCAGGAGACTGCTGAGCAGATTATTGCAGAGTGCGGACTGGGCGACGGCGCCGACATCGTGATCGACGCGAGTGGAGCTGAGTCCTGCATCCAGACGGCAGTCTACGTTGCACGCAACGGTGGCACGTTCACACAGGGAGGTATGGGCAAGACGGACATCATGTTCCCGATTGGCATCATGTGTGGCAAGGAGCTGCGTGTTACTGGCAGCTTCCGCTACTCCGCAGGTGACTACCAACTGGCGCTGGACATGGTTGCAAGTGGAAGGCTAGGCGTCAAGGAGCTTATCTCGAAGACTGTGCCGTTTGAGGAAGCCAAGGAGGCGTTCGACAACGTCAAGCGCGGGAATGGCATCAAGTGGCTCATTGAAGGACCCAACTAAGTGCTAGTAGTTGTACCGGATGAAGATTATGAACCCCCTTTATAAAACAGTATTTCTTTAACCCCAAATCGTTGCATGGAGAGGTTACTTAAGTACAAAAGATCAGCGGAAAACAAAGTCTCACAAGTGAAAAAAGCAAGCAAGTCGATTTCTTCGATATCCCTGGTATTGAGTAGAAGGGTAAAGAGTTGCTTCTACGAGATCGGAAGACTTGGATATTCGGAGGAAGGCCAACTTGGAAGTGTACCAGATGCTGTCAGGGATTGATTCTACCTTTCTGCATTCATTCGACTTTTGATCTATTTTTTTTATTATTACTATACTGAGTTCAGCTTGCTAGTTTACATGCTGCTATTGCGCGTTAAGGTCGATCCGCGGTCGACAGCTTCAGCGACCAGCATTGTGTGGGAGGAGGCGTGGCGATTTAGTGCCACCTGCTCCAGTTGGCGCCGACGTTCACGCCAAGCGTACAGGTTGCGCCGGCGTTCAGCAGCCTCAGTGCTCAAACCGGGCGGAGTGTTGTCATTGAGAGACTGACTACTGCCGTACGGATGCGAACTCACGCGCTTCTTGAGTGTCGTCGTGAATTTCTTCTTGCGTTTGGCCAACTCCAACGGGATGACCTGGTAAACCTCCACCGTCGCGTTGATCATAGGCACCGTGTACTCTCCAACACGATCAACTGAACAGGGGATCACCACCAGATCCGCGTACATGAACAGCCAGTCCGCTATGCGTCTCGTGACCAGAATCTGGCCGCCGTCGCCTAAATCTCCAATCTCATTAGCGATAACTTCAGACGCGCCTGTGTACGTCATTTTCCCCGTCACGGCGTGTACGTCCAGTATCAACGGTCCATCTGAATCCACAGCATCGTGGATGCCCATTCGAACACGCAGGCCACAAAAAACAAGATGGTGGCCTGAACGCACCTTCCTAGTCGCGGGTAGTAACCCGTGCAGTTCTTTCGGCCACGGAGCTTCCAGTAACTGCATTTGCACGTCCAAGCAGTACTCGACGGCCTCACGAACTGTGTGGAAGGCCAACTGGAACGCGTCACCGGCTGTCGTGATTTCGTATCCTCTGTACGTCATGAGTGAGGATCGTAAAATGTTGTCGTGGATCTCGGTCGCTCGCTGCATGATAAATCCGTCCCCGACGCCCCAGAGTGCACTGGATTGCTGAATATCTGTAAACACAAACACAGGGTTGACAAGCGGGGGCTCGGCCGATTCAACAAGCCCTGGCGTGTCTTGCGGTGATAATAATTCTCCGGGTTGCATGAGTCGCGCTTCAACTTGGGCTTCCACATCGTCCGGTAAACAGCAGCGGCAGAACTCGAGGACACACGCTTGACTGCACATGGTCGTAATAGCGAGTGCCAGGCCAGAGACGCAGTAGATCACAGCACTGGCGCTGATAAAATCGATCAGCTTGTACTCTTTATTCGGCATAGCGTACAGCACGACGGACGCGATCTGGAACTGCAGCATGAAAATGGCGTAGACGAACCTGTAGCAGCTCGTTAGTATGAATCATTTAAAAGATTATCAAGATTTCACCGTACATGATCCTCGACAGTCTTTGATAAATGGGCGACGTGACAAACTGGCCCTGCACATTCTCGTACTTCCGGCCGCCCCATTTGAGTCGAATAAGGTTCCACACCATGTACAGGAAGCTGGCAAACTGCGTGAAGTACACGGCCAGCAGACACCGCTGGGTGTAGGTCGTGTAGCCCTTCCTCACTGCTGCGAGAGTCGTCTCCACGACGATGAAGATTGCAATGACGATCCAGACTCGCCATAAATACCACCGGATCTGCTCCTTCTCCTTCTCGGCCCCGCGATCCATGGATCGTGTGGCAATCAGTCGGAGCTCGTAGGTCAGTGGGAAAGTCCACACGGCCACTGCGAAGAGCGCGCAGTCTCCCCACACCAGCAACGCCGTGACCAGCGGGTCGTGTGAAACTTTAAAGTTTAGCACAGAGAAGACGCCCAGCTTGCTGTACCGGTTGGCCAAGAGCTGCTCACCCACCTCTGTCGTAGAGTCCAGCGGTTTGATAACGCCCACGATCATGAACAGTATGCGGCCGAGGCAGAAGATGAAGTAACATAGAAAGAAGGTGAAAAACAGCCAGCGGACACTCGAAATCTGCAGGTCCCAGCTACGCCGCAGACTGTAGGTCGTGATACCCGTGGCCACACAGGATAAGCTTATGGTAACGATGGCCAACTCCGTCCAGACCATCCTGACAACGCGGGCCGCGATGTAAGGTGTGGATTGAAGGAATGACCGACCTTAGCCCGATGGTAGTATTGGGGGTTGCGTGAGACTTTTTTTTTCTAGTCTCGAAGCCGTTCGAACTTTTGGGAGTTTTTCTTGTTTGGTAGAATTTTTTTTGGTATAATTTTTTTTAACGGACGTGAACAAAAAAAACAGCAGCTATTTGACCGGCGTCAAAAAAATATCAAAGTGACTGTTGCTTGGCAGTAATAAAACACGATTAACTTAGTTCTTAAAACTCGTCGGTACGCATGTTGATTGGCCAGGATGGCATTCAGACGAAAAAAAACTATTACATTTTTAATGGTTTTTTTTTTCGTCTGAATGCCATCCCGGCCAATCAAAAAAGAAACAGAACAAGAACTAGAACAAGCTCTTGTTTATCCGTTGAGGAGTTCTCGTCCGTTAAGCTCGATGGACGAATCTTGGACGTTTTTGGGTTCGCAAACATGATATGCGACATCAAAGCAGTTCAACCATGACGTTAGCAATACCCAGCAAACTCTATTTTGATAAATTAGTTACATGCTTGTTGTACGCGCGTAGCTGGGGCGCGTGTCGAACGCAAAGCTCGGGCGGGCACTCTCCGTGCGCATGAGTGTCTGGTGAGACGCCGGCCGGCCGAGAGCGCCTTGTTCCAGTTGGCGACGTCGTTCGCGGAGCGCGTAGAGGTGGCGACGGCGTTGAGCTGCCATGCTGCTCATACCCGGAGGAGTACCGTCATTTGCGGTGAAGGAAAGCGCTCCGACGGCGGCGTTTTCCCCGTGGCCAGGACGTCTCTTTAATGTTGTCGCGACATTGGTCGTGAACTTCTTCTTGCGCTTGGCCAACACTGTCGGAAGCACCTGGAAAACCTCCACCTTTGAATTGATCTGAGGGACCGTGTAGTCGCCCACACGATCGACCGAACACGGGATCGCAACCAGGTCCGCGTACATGTTAATCCAGTCTGCAACGCGTTTAGTTACGAGGATCTGGCCGCCGTCGCCTAAGTCTCCGATCTCATTGGCGATGACTTCGGACGCACCGGTGTAGATCATTTTTCCTGTTACAGCGTGGACATCCAGTACCAACGGGCCGTCCGAATCGACCGCGTCGTGGATGCCCATACGTACGCGCAGTCCGCGAAAAACCAAGTGACGACCTACTCGCTGCTTCTTGGTGGCCGGTAGCAAGCCGTGCAGTTCATTTGGCCACGGAGCATCCAGCAGTTGCAACTGTACGTCCATGCAGTATTCGACTGCCTCTCGAGTGGTATGGAAGGCTAGTTGAAAGGCGTCACCCGCCGTCGTGATCTCGTATCCACGATATTTCATCAACATTGAGCGCAGAATATTGTCGTGAATCTCGGTGGCTTGTTGCATGATGAGACCGTCACCGACACCCCACAACGCGCTCGACTGCTGGATATCTGTAAAAACAAATACAGGGTTGACAAGCGGAGGCTCGGCGGATTCCACGAGGATCTGGGTGTCTCGTGGGGAGAGAAGTTCTCCAGGCTGCATGAGTCTGGCTTCAAGGTGAGCTTCCACGTCGTCGGGCATACAACAGCGACACATTTGGAGCACACACGCTTGGCTGCACATAGTTGTGATGGCTAAGGCAAGCCCAGAAATGTTGTATATGACGGTACTGATGCTTGTGTAGTCACTAAGGTCGTCCCTGTCGTTCGGTCTTGAGTACGAAATGACGGAGGCGAGCTGATACTGGAGCGTAAAAAACGCGTAGATAACTCTAAAAACCAGGAAAAAAACATGTTTGTTAGATCTTTTTCCAATATATATATAAACAGGAGTCCAAGCGTACAGGATCCGCGAGATACGCTGGTATATGGGTGACGTGACGAATTGTCCCTGGACATTTTCGTACTTCCTGCCGCCCCACTTGAGTCTCAAGACCACGAAGAGCATATACAAAAAGCTCGCGAACATTGTAAAGTAGACAGCCAGCTGAAATGCCTGCGTGGTGGTTGTGTAGCCGCCTCTGTCTACTGCCAGAATGGTCTCTGCGACGGCAAACCCACCAATTATTGGCCATACACAACACCAATACCATTGAATTTGCTCGCGTTCCTTCTCGGCCCCTCGGTCCATAGTCTTCTTGGCTATAAGGCCGAGCTCGTAAATTAGCGGGAACGTCCATGTGGCCACCGAGAAGTGAACGGAGTCTCCGATGACCAAAAACACCGTCACCAGTGGATCGTTGGACACACGCGAGTGCAGCGGCGCGAAGATTCCGAGCGTCGTGTAGTGTTCGGCCAAATATTCGTCATTGGCCGAATGGCCCCACGTGGCCTTGGCGCTTACTGTGACCATGTACGCCACACGCATTACGCTGTACAGGCAGTAGCACGTGAAGAAGATGAAGAAGAGCCAGCGTACGCTGGAAACCTGCAGGTCCCAAGACCGGCGGAGGCTGTAGCTCGTGATGCCCGTGGCCACGCACGACAGCCCCATGGCCGTGATGGCCAGCGTCGTCCAGACCATGGCCACTATGTTTTCCCCTCGCCTGTGTCGCCAAGACTCCGAGCTGCGCTTTGACACGGTGAGTGACCGCGGCTTGCCGGTTCGAACGCACAGTTTATGCAGTGTGGGCTCATAAACAAAAGTACTGATTTCTGCTGGCTATTGCTATTATTGCAATACATTTGTCCTCGCATCTTTCGGGGGCACTCGGAGAAAAAAGCAAAAAGGGTAATATGAGGATGAAGGTCTTTCAATAGCAGTATCTATTAGTCATGAAGCGCCATGGCTGGCATCTTGGTAATGATGTAGATATGAGAGGGAGGCCCGGAACTCGCTTATTATACTGTTATACTGACGCATTTACTTTGGAGCCGATGTTGTTATCGTGCAGGTGAATGATGGAAACCGTGGACGTGGTCCCTCCGACAGTATAACGTTTTAATTGGGTCTCTAGGGGGGGGGGCTCCAAAATAAAAGCAAGCGCTGTTGATGTGCCTGACTTCGATCCCAAACTGGGCGAAAAGAAGACATGCCTCATCTGGAAGTTTTGCGGTGATCAAGTTTCTCGAAGTCTATAACATTGAACAGATTTTCCAGCGTATATCACACTGCGCTGAAGAATGTTAATGGGAAATGGGCTATATAAACGATAGATCTTTTTTTGTTTTTGTTTTAATGAAACATGATTGTAACAAAAAATATGGTATGCGATCTTCACAAAAGTGCGAGATCTTCTTTCTCATTCCTCTGCAGCAGAATTGACTAACCGTCTGAGATGATCTGTACAGACTTTGCCGTGACCATAACCGCTATGACTAGTATTGTAGAGTTCCTGTTTTTTTTTTCGCTGCGTAGCACGGCAACAAGCTGCTGGTCGGCCATATTGTTCTGACTCCGCCGCAAAAAAAAAAAATAAAACAGGATCTCGCTTGATACGACAGTACAATATCCCAGGATTCAGAAGCTGTACACTACCGTAGACTGATATCGCCGACCAAGCGAAGACATTGTAGAAGTTAACAAAATATAATAGTTGTTAATAGTGCATAATAAAAGAAAAACTTTGCTTACTGATTTATGATAATTACAGAACTGATTCTTACTCTGAAGTGACTCGTCGAAACGGTCTGGAGTCTCGCAAGTCGTGGGAGCCGGCATCCTTCGCCGATAGAGATTTTCAACGCAGAATGAAAAAAAAAACTACATGTAGTGTTCATCACAAGTCAGTATTAATAACCAGACTACCTATTAATATAAGTCATTGTTCGCCACGCGCAACGAGCATGCAGTCTTGTTACGGCGCGACCATGACCGATGGTCAAAATGCAAGAACGATCGTTGCACACAACCAAAGCGTCTGAGTAGCTTACACAGGCGCACGATCCGGAAGAGTCCCTAACACGCTTGTGTCGATAAATCCTTCGTCGCTGGCCAGGAGCCAGGAGCTGTCCGTTGTTTCTTGACCGTCGCGATCGATTGCTCAACGCGACCAAGCTCAGTGGCAACGGCGTGGTAGCCCGCCGCTTGGCTCTAGACGAAATGCTATCATCGACTCAAGATTCTTGAGGCCGATGACAACACTTTCTTCCGCCCGCAGACTTCTGCGGTGCGCTCTTTTTAAGTTTTTGATAATTAGCGGTCACTGATTAAGATTCTGTGAGTCAGAATTGTACAGTATTCCACCGCCGACGGCACTGGAGACTCTTTTAAGCTGCAACAAGCTAATGAGAACCCTGGATTTTTTTTTTCGGGGCGGTGGCGGGAAACGAACTCGTCGAACTGTTTTTCCATCATCCATTCGCTGTCAGTTTATCAAGGTTTTGCCACACTACATTCCGAATTGCAAGTTGCAAACAACGTCGCCATCACGAATTGTCCTCCTGGATCGGCGTGTCGTATTCACGGGCCCTTCGATTCCATGGTACTTTTTGACTCATCGAAGGCTTCGACGAAGCAAAGTTGCTGCAGGAATTCTACAGATGCCCAAACTTACGGCATCTGTACAGCTTGGGATCTGTTGAGTACTCACGTTCCCAATCTCTTTGCATACTTTCTCTCATACTGGAATGACAGCGTCCGTGTCGAACGCAGCGTTGGTCCGCCGTGGCGATATCGGTACTGGCTCCCTTGGTGTCCGTAGACTCCACCGAACAAACGGAGACGCGGAACGTGCGCCATTTCCCGATCAACTCTTCTTGAAAGCGTCGAGGCTTCGTAGAGTATATTTTGCAAGCCAAACCGGAGTATCACTATGGTCTGGCGAGTCTGCGCTCTTGCAGCTGCAGTCACAGTCAGCGTCGTACAGGCTGGCCCCCTTCCAACAGGTATTTGCTACGCGCCGTGGCATCACCCCACCGTCACCTACGATGTCGTAGGCAAGGACTTGACCCAGGTCAGTCAGTACTTTTCCAGCATCCGTACATTCCAAACACTGTTCAGTGGCGTGAACGTCATCAACTCGGCCGCAGCGGCAGGAATCAAGGTGGCTGTAGGCGTACAGCTTACGGATCCGGCACTAATTGACGCAGAAATCAAGGCGGTGTGTGAAGGTTACAAGGCTAACCCGAGTGCCGTCGAAGCTGTGTACGTTGGTAACGAAAACCTCAAGAACAAAGATTTCGGAACGTTCACGGCCGACCAGCTCGTCGGCTACATTACGCGTGTGAAGGAGTGTGTAGGAAAGACTCCAGTCGGTTCAGTGCAGCGTATTAACGAGTGGCTCTCGGCCGAAGGCGCAGCCACGCTGTCTGCGGCGTGCGACGTTATTGGTGTTAACATTTACCCGTTCTTCACGAACGGCCCACAGACGGCCGTCGAAAAACTACAGACGCAATGGGAACAAATGGCGGTGAAATACGATGCAGACAAGATGCACGTGACGGAAACTGGCTGGCCGTCGGAAGGTGAGAACTACGGCGCGAACGCGCCTTCGATCGAGGGCATGCAGAAGTACCTGGACGACTACGTGGAATGGTCCAAGAACGTCCCTCAGAGCTACTGGTTCATGATGTACGACACGACAGTGAGCTACACTGGTGCTGAGTACGAGAAGCACTTTGGCGTCTTCACTTCCGATGGAAAGCAGAAGATCACCGTTCCGAGCGGCGATGGAGCGCAGAAGCAAAGCAATGCCACGGACGCGTCCCCAACGCAGCAAAAACAGCCAAATGTATCGGCCGACCCTCCTGCTACCGTGAAGAGCAAGGATACCCCTGCTAACAAGACCGCTGGTGCCACTTCTACTCCTGTCTACACATTCCAGCAGGACAATACTGGCAACGAAGCCGGCACTGTTGCTCCATTCTCTGAACGTGATTCTGGAACGTGTAGCCAGATCGTATCGTCTGGAGACGCAGCAGTCGGTATCAAGATCGTCACAGACAAGACCTGCGCTTCTGGAGGCGTGGGATGCCTCGACAAGATATGCCGATACTGCAAAGAAGTGAGCACTACGCAGTCCTCGAAGTTCGTCGACTGTGCTTCGATTGAAGGGAAGTCAAGGAAGCTGTAGATTTCAAAGTCATAGAGATTGTTTTCGTAGCTCTAGACAAGTGTATCTCGGCTTTTACTTTGTGTTCATCTTGTAGGGAGTCGCTGGAAACTCCATCCCGGTCGAAGGAACTGTTTGTACACAGCTTGATCAATAAGAAATGGTTTGGCAACATTATCCTTCATTCAGCCTTAACTACTGAGCTTTAAAGCACAAATTTATGAACAGCATGTATAGGGACGAGCTTTAACACACAGTAATGTACTCTACTTGGATGTAGTTCGTCTAGCTAATAGCGTTTGCGGAGGGAGACCTTACACTTGCCACTAGTAGGAACGACCGTGGTTGCAGCTGGAGCAGCCTCAGCCTCAGACTGAGTCGAGCCTTCCAAAGAAGGAGCGTACGTTTCGGTAATAGCAGTCGTCGGGGCTGTAGTTGGGGCATCAGTGTTCAGAGAGGTTGCCTCAGCTGCGGTATCAATTGCTGTCGACGGAGCTGTGGTAGTAGCATCAGTGGCAACAGGGGCAGTCGTTGTAGGTGTATCAATTGCAGCAGAGGTAGTTGTCGGAGTTATTATCGAGAAATCAGAGGTAACCGGGGCTGTCGTTGAGGTCACAGGAGCATCCGTGGTGTCCTGAGCTGTCGAATCCAACCCGGACGAGGAAGTCGAGGTGGTCTGAAGTGTGGTGCTATCACTACCGGGGATCGTGACCTTCTGCGTGCCGTCCGAGGTGAACAGACCGAAATGCTTCTCGTACTCCGCTCCCGTGTAGCTGACGGTCGTATCGTACATCATGAACCAGTACGACGATCCTACACTCTTGGACCACGTGACGTAGTCGTTCAAGAACTGCTGCATCGTCTCAATGGACGGTGCATTGCTCTGATAGTTCTCGCCGCTGGACGGCCAGCCAGTCTCCGTTAGATGGAGTTTGCTCGAGTCATACATGCTCGTCATCTGGGTCCATTGAGCCTCCAGCTTTTCAACTGCAGTCTGGTCGCTGACAGTGAAGAACGGGTAGATGTTGACTCCAACGACGTCCGACGCCGCCGCTAGCGTTGACGCTCCGTCAGCAGTGAGCCACTCGTTAATACGCTGTACCGAACCAACAGGAGTATTACCCACACAAGTCTTAAGCTGGTTGATGTAGATCACTAATTCATCCGCAGTGAACGTGCCAAAGTCGCCGTTTTTGAGGTTTTCGTTACCTACATAGACCGCTTCAATCGCGTCCGGGTTGGACGCGTAGCCTTGGCACACAGCGTCGATCTCGGCGTCGATTGCCGAGGCGTCTGTAAGCTGTACACCGACTGCAACTTTAAGTCCCGCTGCGGCCGCGGCTTGAATGGCGTTGACGCCGCTGAATTGGGCCTGGTACGTGCGGACGCTCGAGAAATACTGAGCGATCTCGGTCATATCCGCTCCGACGACAGTGTCATCGACGGACGTGTGGTGCCACGGAGCGTAGCACACACCCGTTGCATCCGCTGCGACCGCGAGTGTAGCCATCGCCACAGCAACACGAATACTTGAGAAGACCATTGTCGCTCGAGATCGAATTGGTCGGACTGTGTCTTCGTGGAGAAAATGAAAAGTGAGCAATAGGGTGAATGGAGCCGTCCGTCGTGCTAGAGGGACAGCAAGGAGTCAGAATGAATTCGGACTGGCATGAAGGTTGTGGTGAATTGAGCATGTTGGTGTATTGGCTTACGTCGCTTGAGTCGCCACGCGGATTCCGTGAAGGATCGATCGAATGGTCATGTGTACAAGCTGCTCCGGAGGAATGCCCGTTACGGAGGCTTTCGCTTGTATCTGCTCATAAACTTTCTGATATAATAGGAGTGCCCCGACGACTCCACCCTCACGTTGTGGTTCGTCGCCGCGAAACGTTAATTTTTAGAGAAGAGAAGCGTTTCGATGCAGAGATGTCGCTAGACTAACGTCGTAAGGCACGCACGCTAGGACAATCTGCTTGTCGCGGACTTCACTGTGGTGACGAATGCGTTGCACTCAAGATGGCGAGTCATAAGACGACGGGTAGGCCCTGTGGCTGCGTCGTCCGGAGCTTAGTGACTGGTTCACGCCAAGATTTTCGAGACAAGTGGATAAGACAACCGTATGAGAGATAATGGCTTGAAGTTGCACACAGTAGAACAGTAGAATTGCTCTTAGCTTAGAAGTTTTACTAGTAGAGGACATTCAAGTTACTCACCCGTTAGAGTAGGCGCTTCTTGATGCTTAGATGTACTACTACATGCTAGTCAGTGTCAGAGTGGTAATGATTGAAGTAGTATCTGTACAAAAGCTGTTTTGTTTATCGGTTATGCACCTCCGCTACATGCTTCACCTTGGAACTAGTCGTACCAAGTTTCCAACTATGTAACCGAGTCGTCTACATCAACGACTAACGAGAGATTTACATGGCACAGTCCTTGCCAGACTGAACAACGGGGGCGGGGGTCACCGAAGGAGTGTCCTGGGTAGGAACGTCAACGGACGGAGTGCCCTGGACAGGGGTCTCCTGAGCAGGGATCTCACCCGTAGGGTTGGTAGGGGCCTCGGTGCGGTACTCCGGAATATCCACAGCGTACTGCGGCTCCGTCGGGGCGGGAGTGCCGGGGACCTCGCCCTGCTGCTGGGTCTGGTCGCCGCCATCGTTAGCAGGCGGGGTGCCGGGAGCCTCCGTGCGGTACTCCGGCACGTCGACGGCGTACTGCTGCTCCGTCGGGGCGGGGGTCACCAAGACCTCACCCTGCTGCTGGGTCTGGTCACCACCATCGTTAGCGGCCGGGGTGGCGGCAGGGGCGTCCGTGGCAGGCGTAGCAGGAGCATCAGTGCCCTGCTGGGTCTGGCTGCCCGTGGAGCTGCCCTGGGTCTGGCTGCCCTGCGTCTGGCTGCCCTGCGTGGGGGAGGTCGTGGTCGAGCCATCCTTGAATCCGCCAGGGATCGACACCTTCGGGTTGCCATCCTTGTCGAAGCAACCGAAGTGCTTCTCGTACTCGGCGCCAGTGTAGCTGGTGGTCGTGTCGAACATCATGAACCAGTACGACTCGCCCTTGCCCGACGACCACTGCACAAAGTCGTTGAGGTACTGCTGCATGGTCTCGAGCGACGGGGAGTTGCCGAACGAGGTCTCACCCTCCGTCGGCCAGCCGGTCTCCGTCAGCTGAATCTTGCCCTCTTCGTACTTGGAAGTCATCTGCTTCCACTGAGCCTCAAGCTTCTGAATAGGAGTCTGCTCACCCTGCGTGAAGAACGGGTAGATGTTAACACCGTACTTGTCGCAAGCGGCGGAGACCTTGTCAGCACCAGCAGCGGTGTTCCACTCGTTGATACGCTGAGCGGTACCAACGGCCACGTTGCCGCCGGTGCATTCCTTAACCTTCTGGATGTAGCCCACGAGCTGGTCGGCGCTGACCGTGCCGAAATCGCCGTTCTGCAGGTTCTCGTTTCCGACCCAAATGGTCTCGACGGAGCCAGGGTTCTTGGCGTAGCCATCGCACACGGCCTGAATCTCGGAGTCGACCTTGGTCAGGTCGTTCATCTGCACACCGGGAGAGACCTTGACACCAGCCTTGGCAGCAACGTCAATGATGTTGACACCGCTCATGATGGTCTCGAACGTGCGGAAGCTCGAGAAGAACTGACCGATCTTCTGGACGTCTTTCAGAAGCACGTCCTCGTTGACGGTCGGATGGTGCCACGGGGCGTAGCAGGAGCCTGTGGCGTCGGCCGAGCTGATGGCCAGAGCGGCCATCATGGCGAACACGGTCTTGTAGGTAGCACACACCATCTTTAAAAGAAGAGTTTAAAGAGGAAGCTGTAGGGAGGTGTTGGTGCTGGTAGTTCCTTGTGCTGAACGAGGAAAATTGGGGAATGAATTGCTGTCCGAACAGGTTCGGGGACCTGTGCTCCCGTTCCGAGGGGACGAGAGAGGAGGCAAGCGAGTGCTCTGCTGTTCGAACTGACGTTCGGTAAGAGACACTCGCCTTTGCGGGCAAGAGACCGTAGAGTCTTACACATGGACGACCAGGCGGTACAATCGAAAACTTGGCAGAGATTGCCAGCACCCTCAAACATTGAGACAACAGCAGGTCAAGCGTGGCACATGGCGGGGAACGACACAGTGGCGACTATCGTTCGGCGGGGTTACATGTAACGCGTTCACACCGAGCTGGCTGGAATTCGGAGGAGCTTTTGCAGAGCGTTTATTCAGATAGTCACCTTTGAACTCCGAACTCCGACTGAGTTCAAGGGACTCAGCATAAATCCACGTTTGCAGAGGCAGGGTCTCCACTGTCTCGTTTGCTTACAACCGCGCGCTTTTGGCACGCACGCCATGCCACGCTGCGCCGGACTTCGCATAGGCGAGCCCAGACGATCGAGAAGCAGTGCTCGTTATGTACATACATGACGTAAACGTATTCATACAAATCAACGATGTGCGATAAGGTGAGAAGCATAGAAATCTATCACATCAGTGGATATTATCAGTGGAAGTTCCGCACATTCGATCCATCCAAAGTCTCCTTTTCAAAATTCAGATCCAGAAGGGTCTTGCCAAGAGACGTCAAGGAATGCCAACGCGTCTTACATGGCGCAGTTGGCGGTCGTCGTCGTGGCCGTCGTAGCGGCCGGGGTCACCGTCGGGCTGTCCGTGGTCGTCGTGGTCGTCGTCGTGTCCTCTTCCTCCGAGGCACCGACATCCTCCGAGGTGGTCGGCGCGGGAGTGGCCGTCTCGGTCTCCTCCGAGGCTGTGTCGTCGATGTACGACGTGGTCTGCTGTGTTGAGTCATCCGCCGTAGTCGAGCTCTGCGTGGTCTGCTGAGTCGAGTCGTCCGTGGTAGTCGAAGCCGAGCTCTGCGTGGTCTGTTGCGTGGTGTCTTCGCTGGTGGAAGCGGCCGTCGACGTCGTGGTGGAGCTGGCGCTGCTGCTGCCGCCCGGGATGGTCACGTGAGCGACCATATCGTCGCCAAAGATACCGAAGTGGGTCTCGTAGTTGGCGCCCGTGTAGCTCGTGGTGGTGTCGTACATCATGAACCAGTAGCTCGACTGCACGCCCGAGGACCAAGTAGCCCAGTCGTTCAGGTACTGCTGCATTCCATCGTACGACGGCGAGTTGCCCTCGTAGTCGTCGCCCTCGTACGGCCAGCCCGTTTCAGTCAAATGCATGGTGCTCTCATCATAGCCGGCAGCCAGCATCTGCGCCCACTGAGTCTCGAGCTTGGACACTGCCGTGTCGTCGCCCTGGGTGAAGAACGGGTAGATGTTAACGCCGATGACATCGCAAGCAGCGGCTAGCGTGGAGGCGTCGTCGGCGTTCAGCCACTCGTTAATGCGCTGGACAGAGCCGACGGGTACAGCGTTGCTCGTGCACTCCTTCACTTGCGAGATGTAGCCGGCCAGAGTGTCGGCACTGAATGTACCAAAGTCACCGTTCACCAGGTCCTCGTTACCGACGTACACGGCCTCGATGGCGTCCGGGTATGACGAGTAGCCGTCGCACACGGCCTGAATCTCCGAGTCAATAGCCGACGAGTCAGTGAGCTGCACACCGACGGCCACCTTGAGGCCTGCGTTGGCCGCCGTCTCGATCACATTAATGCCGCTGTACTGCGCCTGGAAGGATCGGAACGCCGTGAAATACTGGGCAATCTGAGCCATGTCGGTGGCCAGCACGTCGCTGGTCACGGTGTCGTGGTGCCAGGGCGCGTAGCAGATTCCGGGCAAGGTGGCGTCCACCACGCCAGTAGCAAGTGCCGCTAGCATTGCGACGACGCTCATATACGACGTGCACACCATTGCCGATGAAGTTCTAATGGCAATTCGTTTCGATGCGAGTGAGGAAGCGAATTGAGGAATGACATGCATGACCGTCGACTAGCGGATAGCGGCCACGGCCGGGATGACAAAGAGACTTTGCATCGGCGACGGATACAAAAGGATGGCTGTGACACTATAGCACACAAGTGTCTTGCGCCGTAGAGGGCTGGTGCTGGCGAAAGATACTCGAGGAAGTGCCCTGCACATCGATGTGAGCTTCTTCGGGTCTCGAGACCGCTCAAAGCGCACGGGTGGCACGGCCACATGGCAATTTGACAATCGACAGGGCGGAAAAAAGTACCCGCTAGCCGGTTTCCAGTCAATTAAAATCCGTCGCCAGCGGATCTTCTGAGCAAGTGTCTCGACCAGCGCAACTTGCAGCCAGCCAGCCTGCTGGTGAAGCCACCAATCCGGCTAGACGGGAGGAACTAACGACAAGTCTCGTTTTCCTATTCCTCTGCGAGTCTTGTGCCGCCTGGAATCTTTCGCGGCAGCGTTTGAAAGCAACATCGGCCGTGGCGAACGCCCGTCTTTGCTGGCCAGTTTTGGAGCCAGCTGTCCGCACGTGTGCAGTGCATTTGTGGTGCGGCCGGGTCCCTTACACGGCTGGAAGACGCGCATGGGTGCCGACGGCGAGCACGAGAAAAGCTGCGAACATCGTGGGTAAATTTTCTCGCTTCACGTTGTCTTCCGACTTGCGGATAGCCCCGACCAAAATGCTACATGTACATGTGTAGTGTGGCGTCAGTGTGCCCTTGTTCGAAGCTCACGTAGACGCGCTCGGTGCGCGTTGTCGCCGTTAAACAGGAGATCTGGCATGCTTTCGTCACTTCTGGCTCTCCGAAAAAGAATTCTCTATCGCCGCATTGTCGCCCACCTCATGGCGAAAATATCAGTGACCCTACGATCGACGACACGGCTCGGATCTTGTCAGTGTACAGTTCACCAGTATCTTCAGGCTGAAGATCTTCAGCGCAAACGATGATCTTCTTGCGGGTAGGCAAATGTTATAATTAATAGAACCCGAATTACCAGTTGTGTACTCTTAACATCCCAACGATTTGGTAATGAAAACGAACAGTACAGTATTGCTGAACGCTACAGAACTGCACAATACACAGGAAATCGATTTATGCAGCTACATACGTTGCTCGATGACCTTGAAATTCTAGTAGAATGCTGTAATGGTAAAGTGGCCTTCTATTTGGTTAATGTATTTCTAGCACTTTTGTTACGTGAAAAGAAGTGTATTCCCAGCTAAGTCGAAGACGGTCTAGTTACCGCCATCATAACACGAATAAGTCATGCAACGTAGCAAAACAATGTTTGTAGCAAAATACTGAAAAGATTTCTATTACGAGAACCTAGCACACTTAATCTTCGAAGCTGTAGTACTCCCACGGCTCGAACGGGTCTTCCCACTCCTCAAAGTCGCCAGCCTTGTACTGCTTCATTTCCTCGTCCGTGAGTAAGCACGAGTCCAGCGCCGCGCGAATCTTTGCAATTTCGTCGTCCTCCTGTGAGAATCTGCCGATGAACACGAGTTCCTGACCACGGTCGCCGTACTCACGTGCCATGAGTTCCTTGTAGTTCGGCAGTTCCTTCATAGTACGCGTGCGCTCCTCCTCAGGAATAGCAGCGATCCACATGCCTCCGTTAGCCAGAGTGCAGTACAAACCTGCTTGAGACCACGTAGCGTAGTTGTATGGCCGAGTGCCGAGCCAGAAGACGCCCTTACTACGCAGAAGGTTCTTAAACAGACCGTTCTGCTTTCCTTCCAGACGCTTGGCGATTTCTTGCTCACCGAGAGGCTCACCGTCCTCTTCAGCCTCCATCTCCTGGTCTCCATCAGCAGGTTCTTCTTCCTCCTCTTCACCTTCTTCTTCGTGGTCATGATCGTGACCATCATCATCGTCAGTAGGGAACGGAGGCAACGTTGGGGACTCGACGATTACAAACTCGTCCTGAATAATTCCAGTCAGTCTTGCAGGATGGAACGGACGCGAAGCCTTGTACAGGAACGACCCAATGCCGTACTCTACCGTCTCCGGTGTATGAGGGACAGTGAGCGACTCAAGCCATCCCGTTTGCTGCGACGCACGCTCGAATGAGAAGAGCTTGGTACCAAGGATCATCTTTGGGTCCACACGGCCCTTAACCGTGCGTTCGATCTTGGCGTACGAGTTAAGACGACGAAGAACCTTCTCAATAGCTTCGACGTCCTTGGCAGGCACCAGGTCGGTTTTGTTAAGTAGAATGATGTCTGCGAACTCGATCTGGTCGATCAACAGGTCGGTGATCGTACGGGTGTCTCCCTCAGGAAGCTGCTTACGGTTCTCTTCAACATCCGCGAGCATGCGTGGGTCGTCGAATACGTGGAAGAAGGTGGCCGAGTCAACGACGGTCACGCACGTGTCCAGCAGCGCAATGTCACGCAACAACGGAAGTTGCTCGCCGTCACGAACGAGAAGCTCATCTAGCTGAACGGTGGGGATACCAGCCGAAGCAGAGGGCGACGCACTGGCGCTAGTGTCGTCTCCCGACGACGCACCGGATTCCGTTCGAGAGCGCTTGGAGCTGCTCGGAGACAGCGCAGGGTCGACCTTCACCTCTTCCTCAGCACCTTCAGGCAGCTCGAACACGAACGTCTCGGCCACTTGCATAGGCTCACTGATGCCAGAGCTCTCGATCACAATGTAGTCCACTTCACCCTGCTGGGCGATACGGGCGATCTGCTCGAGCAGATCGACACGAAGCGTGCAGCAGATGCAGCCGTTCTCGAGCCGAACGAGCTGTTCTTCGCGTTGAAGCACACCAGCCGACGCGACAAGGTCAGCGTCGATGTTGAGCTCGCCCATGTCATTGACGATCACAGCAACACGCAACGCGTGGTCCTTGTTCTTGAGAATATGCTGCAGTAGAGTAGTTTTACCACTACCCAGGAAACCGGATAGCAGCGTAACCGGGATACGGTTGCCGTCCTTCTTGTCGGTCTCAGTTATGAGCGGCCGCTTGTTGGTCGGAGAGCTCGTCGTAGCGCCAGCCATTGCAGAGGATTGAGACTTGATGATCGAATGCACTTGAGCTGGCAAATTGGAGAATGAGCCTTGACCTGAAGTCCGTGTCGGACAGAGCTGCCGTAGTGGAGCCCTTGTACGTCAAGCATCATACTGTAGTTAACTTTTCCGACGGTTCTGGCAGATTCTCGCCGTCGGCCAAGTGGATGCTAAGGTGGTGACCATGTTGAAGCGGTTCTGGTGGTGTTGGCGTGTTATCTCCGACGGCGTGTCAATCCGAAGGCGATATGATCTTTTGGATGGGTTCATATCCGCCGTCGGAAATCCTCTCACGTGATTGGCTAATGAAAATATAGCCATTTCCACTCGGCGAATCAAATCAAATTATCAGTCCGACGTATACGTGTATTTATTACCTAGCCGAACGACGCTGCTGATTTTCTTTAATGATGTCCAAACAGCACCGAAACATAAGGGAAGCTCGTGCGCCGTGATCGAAGCACGTCCATGGTGCTGCAATGGAGGCAAAGTCTGAGATGTTGCTGCTGAGAGAACAAACGAGTAGCTTGTTTGTAAATGTGGGGATCTGTTCTTTTTGTGTGTGTGTGTGTGTGTGTGGGTGTGTGTGTGTGTGTGTGTGTGTGTGT